CGGCGAGGCCGGCTGGGCTCCGGCTGGCCCGTCCGTTCCACCCTGCAGGAAGAGGGCCGTCTCGGTCTGGGGCAGCCCCAAATCAGGAGGAGCCTGGCGCCCCCTTTCCCGGCTGCCAAGTCGGATTCCCGGGCAGGAGCTTCGGCGAGCCGCAGCAGACGCGCAGAGCGCGAGTCAGGCGCAGCGCGCAGAAAGTTCTGCTTTCGGACGTTCGTTGGGCTTTTTGGAAGGGGCTGGTCGGCAGAGCTGCCCGCCGAGAAGCCGGGGAGGCGGGTGGGGCTGGCTGGCAAACCGCGGAAGGACGTCCCGCCATCCAAGAACAGAGGCATGGGCCGGCCAGCCTGCGGAGGGAGCCTCTCCCGGGTGGGACGAGGAGAGCGGGCGGCGAGGGGGTCACGCTATTGTCACGAAGTGGGAAATGTTGGAAGGACGTCTTCCCCAAGCCGGTGGACAGCGCTGCCTGTGGCGGGGAGTCATGGGCATTGTAACCCCACACTCTGGAGATTGGGGAAGGTGAAGAAAGGGAGGAAGGATGGAGAGCTCCCCCCCGCCCCTCAACTGATCTAATAGCATCTCTGAGCTGGAGGCTGCAGCAGTCCCAAATTAATCAGCAAGCAGGGGGAAACATCGTTTGCGAAACGGTGGTATATTTATGGGAGGGGCAACGGGCCAGCGAAGTGTGACTTTCCATCTAAGGGCATATTTTGTTTTGAACGCTGAATACCGAAAGTCTTAAAAGAGCATCTACAGGGTGAGGGACAAGTGAGGATGAGATTGTGAGATGAGAAAAATAATTTCAGAAAGGGAATTCCTCTGAGGGCAGTGTGGCCTTGGACCCAGAATGGCCAGAAGCAGCCCAGGCGAACTGCTGGCTGGGGAATTCTGGGAGTCGAAGTCCACCCATCTTACAGTTGACAAGGTTGGGAAACATGGCTGAGGCAGGAGGAGCATTTGCGTGTGTTCTCAGGCAGTCTCTCCACGGCAGAACTGGAAATATCGCTTTAGCCAGGAACCCCATCCAGCCTTAAGCAACAGGCTCGGAGCTCCCTTGCTTCCAGGAGCGCAGCGCGAAAGTGTGGCATGGAGATTCCTCGCCCAGACGGGTTGTGCACGTTTGTCCATGAGACAGAAAAGTGTTTCGGTTAGTGGGAGGAAAGGGAGAAAGACTGCTGGGAAGCCAGGAGGTTCTCTCATCCTTTCCTCTGGGTGCCAAGAAAGGGGTTCGAGCAGACTGCACATTGCTAGAGTCGGCACTCCCGTCACCCCACCCTGCCCCAGCATTAGTGCCCAGTCACCTTAGCAAGGAAATCGCGTTCTATGCAGTCAAACCTGAGCACCCCTGTGGGGTTCCTTAGCAGGAGTGGGTGGCCGAGGGCTTCCTCTGGGGCATTTTGGTGGGCTGAGGAGGACCACAGGGTGCAGTCAAAAAGGTCAAGCTGGCGGCTGGGACAGACAGAAAAATAGGCAGAGCTTCCATCACACTGTTGTGGCAACCCTCTTCACTTTTTTTGACCACACCCTGTGGACACCTGTGCTTTAGGACTAATGCTTCAGAAGAGGAGATGCTAGAGATAAAGTTTTTTCCCCTATTGGGACATCTCACGGCAGAAATTCCATAGAGCCCAACAGTCTCCAATGCAGTGTTTTTCAGACTTGGCAACTTTAAGATCTGTAGACTTTAACTCCCAGAATCCCCCAGCCTGCATTGGCTGGGGAATTCTGGGAGCTGAAGTCCACACATCTTAAAGTTCCCAAGATTGGGAAACACTGCTCTACTGGGATCAAATAAACCCCCCAGGGCTTTCTCTGCTTACTGTCTTTGCTGCCTCCCTCGCCCATTTTCTCTAGGGCGGCTGTGGAGTTTCCTCAGCCAAGCAACCAAAACCATAGAAGTCCCACATTTGCCCTGCCATGCCTCTCTCCCTTTAGCCTCATGGCACATCTTGTGCAAATCCAGTCTCGGCCCTTTAACGTGCTTTAATTCCCTTCCCCTCCACTATGCATTTTATGCTGGCATGAAGACTTTGGACAACTTTTTAAAATTTGTGCGGAACAGTGCACAATTGGGTTAACTGGATCAACCACAGTTCAGTTAGCCGTGGGCAGGCTTCTCTTGCAAATACCAGACCAGCCCCAATGGTTGTGCCTTTAAGGGCTGCCTGATCTGCAAGAATTTGCAGTATTGAAGCAGGCTTCTCCGACAAATTTCTGCAAGCCTGTGTGTGCGCACTTTCAAGTTAGTGTTGACTTCTGCCAACTGCCTTGACAAATCCATGCGATTCTCTCACAACTGCCAAAGGGGTTTGCCCTTGTTGCCTTCTTCCTAGGGCTGAGAAAGAATAATTGGCCGAAACTCACCCAGGATTCATGCCTAAGGCAGGACTAGAACTCACCATCTTTCAGGTTCTAGCCTGGTGCCTTTAACCACTACACAAACTGGTGCTCTGGTGCTGTTAGTGTGAATGTGCCATCTTAGTTGCTTTGGGGGGCCCAGAAGAGGAAAAGAGGAGAGGGAAGGGGAGCAGGAAATAGAGGGCAAATCCTGGGTGCCCTCTCTGGCAGCCTGGACAAGAGTTGGGCCATGTTTCCTTTTGCTTGTAACGATGGTGTGGAAGTGCCAGTTTTTCTAAGTGCCCCTTTCCTCACCCTTCCAGGCCTGATGATTTACACCTCCCATTTACAGGCAGACATCTGAAACACCTTCATTTTCCGGCAAGGGGTGGGGCATTATTTGCAAGAACACTCTGTAGCACTTCAGGCTCACCAGGAATCCAGAGAATCATTAACTGCTCTTCCATATGACACCCAAAGCCTTTCCTCTGCGTTATTGTTCAGTCCGGTGTTTCTCAACCTTGGCAACTTTAAAATGTGTGGACCAACTCCCAGAATTCCCCCAGCCAGCATGCTGGCTGGGGGAATTCTGGGAGTTGAAGTCCA